TCTGAGTAATTTTTAGGAAACCTTTATGTTTTTCAAACGGTTGGTTTTGGGGATATAAAAGTTTTCATGTCTAGTATCAATTTTTCTAGCCTGAAAAATTATTTAATTCTCTTCCTGTCCCATTTGACTATAGCTGGAGCCTTTTGATTGTAAACTTCTTAGGATTGTTAATGTCAGAAACAAGCGTACTTAACAGTAATTTTAGTGATTTAGATTTTAAGAGCTCAAAAGTTTGAATTTGAGTTCAAGATCTTCATCATTTTGGGTAGTTATTTATTTTTTGTTTTTGCATTTAAGACTATTTTCTCAGCATATTATACCTCTAATTGAGCAGTTATTTAGTCTTTCCAATTTCTGAATAGGAATAACAATATGTTATAATACACATAAGCACACACTCACATGTACAAATACCACAGAGCTTGGGACAGTATCCCGCAATAATTTGAAGTAATAATAAGAAGAAAGAGAATAGCACCAAGTATGTTCATTTTTTAAAAACAGATACCTTTTACCAGAGTGCTTTTACTTAAGTGAAACTTGGTTAATTTGAGCATGACCTAATTCAGATTCTAATAGTGCATTATGATGCTAGCAGACAGTGGTTGATTTCTGTAATTTTCATATACTGGCATGCATGTATCTTGTGAAATCACTACTCAGGGGTTTCATAATTTATACAAAAATCTATATAGCTGCTTTTTTATTGGGTAGTCTTGTTTAAGTGTTAGATTTGCATATATTTATGTAGCTCACTAAATCAATATGTTCTTTGTAAACTGATATAAAACCTTTTTGTACACATTTATAAGAACATTTACTGATTTAATAAATCAGACGCTTGTCAGACATGCATCAGTGTAAATTGTTGTTTATATATAACGTAAACATAATTCTTTAGATGGAGTATATAATTCATCATTCAATTAACATAAATATATAATCAGTCATTAGTTTATCTCCCAAGGTTCAACTCCTGCAGGAAAGAATTTATATGTATCTCTTTGATACATACAAATTAAAATTATTGCTCATTTAATGATTTTCCTAAAGCGTTTTTGCATTCTGTAGAACTTTAAATTTAGATTTTAAATTTTTTATACTCATTTCACAGTAACAATTAAGTAGACTTGACAGCTAACTAGAATGCATAATCTTTTTCTCAAAAACAGTGGCAAATTGTGAAGGTATGATTAAAATTCTTAAGTCATTAAAGCTAACCTTTAAAATCTGAATGCAATTAATTGAATGATTTGAAGATTTACCCTTTGGAAGATATTCCAAAGAGATATGAGATAGAGAGATAGAGATAGATAGGAGAGAGAGAGAGAGAGAGAGAGAGAGAGAGAGAGAGAATGCCAGTATTATCCTGATTCTATTGTCTTACAGTTGCCTGATCTCTTGTTTTCTATGGGGAGTTAGGCAGAAATTTATGTATTTCTTCAAGTAAGCACATATTTGATTACAAAACCCAACAGTAGTAAGAGTCTTATATCAACCATATATTTAACATATTTTAAAACAATATGCTGAGTTGCACTTTACTGACATAAGTTTTAGACAGTTTCTATTGAATGCCTGTTATATTAGTGAGTATTTATCTTTCTTACATTTCCTTACCACACCATCTCTCACCATAGCCACTTCAGAATTTTTGGTTGCATCACTAATCAGCATATTACAATGACTGCACTGTTACACCATAAGTATATATTTTTTTCCTTCTACTTTTTATTTTTCCTAGAGTTAAAAATTGCTTTTGATTTTTCCCATTAGTTTGTATTTTGCTGTGTATCCATTATTGTTTTTTCCCCAATAATTTAAGAACGTTAGTCATGGTTCTCAATAATTTTCCTAAATAGTCTAACACATCAAATCAATTATCAATAACGAATTAGTTTTGCCTTCTCCTCCACCCTAGAGACCTTCCCAGAACTCTCCTTTTTTCTTGAATCTGAACCATATTCTTTGAGAGTGTGATGCAAATCTGTGGTCGTGTGTCATATTCTCTTTTCTGGATGCCATATTCTTCTTGTTTTACTGAAACATAACACTCTTTGTAAAGAAAACTTTATTCTTTGTAAAGAAAAGTTGTATTGAAGGTCATTTTTTTTTTTTTGAATCTCTGCATGTCTAAAATACCTTTATTTTACCCTCATTTTAATTCATACATTGAGAGGGTATGGAATTCTGTGTTAGAACTCATTGTCCCTCATAATTTTGAAGATTGCTCAATATCCTACTACTGTGCAGTGTTGCTGGTTAATCTAGTACTTTTCTAATTTCTTTATTTGTAACTTGCCTTGGCATATCTTTGAAGTTTATCAAATCTCTTTTTCATCCCTGAAGTTCTGAAATTTCACATTGATATGACTTTATGTAAACTTATAAAAAATATCTATCAGGCTTGGTGTTTACTGCAAAACCCTTCACTGTGGAGGCTCCTGTCTTAGGAAATTTTTAAAAACAATATTGTTATTATTTTTTAGAGATAGTGTCTTACTCTGTCAGCCAGGCTGGAGTGCAGTGGCATAATTATAGCTCACTGCAGCTTCAAACTCCTGGGCTCAAGCAATTCTCCTGCTTCAGCCTCCCAAGTAGTTAGGACTACAGGCACTTGCCACCATGCCTGGCTGATTTTTTATTTATTATTTTGTAGAGTTGGGGTCTCAATATGTTGTCCAGGCTGGTCTTGAACTCCTGGCCTCAAGCAATCTTCCCACTTCAGCCTCCCAAAGTGCTAAGATTACCAGTATTAGTCACCATGCTGGGCCAGGACATTTTCTTGTATTATAGCTTTGATAATATTTTCTTGTCCCCTTCTACTCCTTTTTTTGGGGTCTCCCATTGAAATTCCTGTAGTGATACTCAGTTTCTTATGTTTACTTTCATATTTTTCACCTCTTCATCTCTTTATTCTGCTTTTTCAAGATTTCTTCATTTTTATGTTCCAACCATTTTGTTGAATTTTTAAGTTTTGACATATTTTAAATTTCCAAAGGCTCTTTTAAAATTCTTTCATTTTTTTAAATTTTTCTTTTGAAAATGTTTTTTAGAGCATTTTGTTCTTGTTTCATGTGCCAAGTATATTCTGGTTATCTATATTTCTGTTAAGTAAATTTAAGTTTCTTCTGTTTCTTTCATTGCTTCTGTTTCCTCCAAGTGTCATTTTTAAATTTGTTCTTATCTTTCATATTCACGTTGTAGGCTTTTCTCAAATGTCTACTGATCTTTCACTGTCTATTCACATTTAAAAGTAAGGTAGTGGGAAACATATTTTAATAATAATGTAAGCATCATGGTAGGAGATAATCAGTAAAATTCTTGAGTGCAGTAGCCACAGGCTTACAGTGTCTTCATTCTGACTCATCCAGAGATGCAATTTACTCGTTCCACAAAAAAATGCCAGTGTTGTTAAGCCCTGGTACTGTTGCAAAAATATAAAAATGAGAAAAGAAAAAGACCAAGGAACCAAAAGAGAGATAAATAGACAAAGAGTCAGAGATGGATGGATGGACTGAGTGTGTGTACAAGTGTGTATATGTGTGTGTGTGTGTTGGGGTGTTGGGGGAGACAGACTATAAGAATATGAGGTAGAAAGAGTATATATATATATATACACACACACACACATATATATACACACACATATATATATGTATGAGATATTTGTGAAATATGCTTCATGACCCTTTAATAAAGAGAAACTTTGTTTAGATTTTGAACAGAAAAAAATGACAGAGGGAAAATTCATATTAACAATTTTTTTCTGGGGCTAATTATTGTGCTTTCATTTTATTACATCATTGTGCTCCTCATGTATTAGTTACTTAAAGGTGATGAAACTAGCACCTTCCATTAGTTCATTACTTATATGCACATTTCTGCTGCTGTTATCATAGGGAGATCCATTTGCATGTCTGATTTAATCTGAAATATAAATTGATTTTTTTTTGTACTTTCATGGATCTTTTCTTAGATTCCATCTCCCACTGACTTATTTCTATATTTTGAGGTAAGTTTTGAGGCAATGTTTGCTTTTGCCTTAATACTTTATCAGCAATAGTAATAGGGAAGTATTCACATGCTTCATGCTTCTTATTTATATCTTTTTTTATATAGAAGGAAACCTTTTTTAAAAAAGGTGTTTTTTTTTAATCAAATAAACCTTTTTAAAAAAGTTTTTTTTTTAATTAAATAAACCTTTTTTATTTACAAGAATCAGATATTAGAATGGGTTCAACACCTGATGGTATGATGGTACTTAGATCTTACTGGTTCCTGCTAATTCTCATTTCTGGTCTGGTCTGGTAGGAACCTTTTTAGAGAGAAATAAGGATCAGCTTGTTTTTGCATGGATACTCCTTTGTTGTGTGAATTTTCTTGGACTTCATTCCCCGTTTTCAAAGTATCGGTAGTTAAATATAACAGATTTAGCAGTGTAACTGTGGTGTAGACTTTTGAAAAAGAACACAATTTTTGTTTCTGTGTCTGCAACCTACATATATGATTGAAAATTTTTATATCAGGTTCTACTTTTATGACCTATTACCTAGCCACAGTGTATTTGTTTCTATCTGTAGCTTTATAACTATCTATCTGTCAATCATTTATCCATATCTGTGTCTCTATCTGTATATAAACACATATAAAAATGTGCCTGTGCATACAATCAAATATATATATTTGAATGCTTTCCTAGACTCAGCATATATTAGTGTGTTTAACTACCTTTTGGTGAATTGTTTGTTGCTACTGGTGGTCTGTAAAATGGCATCTTGATTCCTCCTCTGATAAACACAATTATGTTATTATGAAACTTTCCTCCCTCGTTTTACCTCCTCAGAGCTTGGGAATTAGGCCAGTTGTAGAGCTGAGTTTTCTGATAATCTTGCTGTTTTAAATATTGTTGTCTATCAGCCATTCATTACTACCTTTTTCCATGCAAAGGGAACACCGGTGTTGTTCAAGAAATCACACCTTAGTGAAAATGCATAGCCTTGTCTCCAGCTCAGGAATAAAAGCCCATTAGTTTAATTCAGTCATATGACTTGTCCCTGTGGCTTGCCTTCTCCCTTCTCCCCTAACTGATTGATTCAGGGCTGGCTAGGAACTTCTCTCTGGCCTGTGAAATGTGAGGCGTTTGCGCTGTGGCTTCTGGGGCTGACTTTCATTCTCATGTCTGGATGTGATGTTGGGACTGCAGCACCCGTCATGTGGGCCATACAGGAAGTTAGCCCCGAGGTAGTTTGAAACTGCTGCTATACTGTGAGAAACAGAAAGACAAAAAAATGGGCGGAACTTGAGTCTTTGAGTCCTTGGTTGAGCCGCTGAATTAATCATAGACCTCCTCCTCCCCCACCCCCCAGCCCTCCTGCCCATCATCCAACATACATTTCTGCATTTACATAACAAAATCAAGGTCCTTATTTTTAAAGTCAATTCAGTGTAGGTTTTTGACAGTTGCAGCCAAAAGCATTATTGCTGAGACATCACTGCTTTACCTTTTATTTCTGTTTTCCATAGTGATTATTAACATCTGTTAACCTTTCTTTTCTCTCTTTTAAGTGAGTAGAGTAAATCATAGGCCAGGCTATTTGTCTAGCATTACTGTAGTAATAATAAACCTTCTGAGAAACAAAAACCTAAATGATTTTTCTGCAAAGTTGATTTATCTGCATCCTGAAGGACCTCATTACTTCTTCCATTTCTGACAGATATTTATAGTGCAATATAATTTTATTCTTTATAAATTTTAAGAGTAGTAAGTTTTATTAATCTTCACTTTATTCAAAGTGATTTGAAATAGATTACAAAGTGAAATGGCAGAAACTAAATTATGTTATGTCCAAAAAAATAAGAACAGCATATGCTGACCTTTGGCTGTTGGTTACCATTTTGTAGGCTTCTCCTAGGATTATATATTTAGAAATAGATATTTGGCATTTTATACTTTAAAAAACCCAACTTCTGGGAGATCTTCTGTTTCTCTACAATGAATATGTACTGTTTTGTGGAGCACCTATAATACGACAAAATGAATTGTTCATGTTTTTCATGCTTCGATTATTGTACTGTTGATGGCAGAAACTAACAGGAGCTTTTTAGAATCTGTTCAACTTCATATGGATTTTATGTTAATATCAGACAACATTTTATTGTAAGAAATGTACAAAATAGTAAAAGTTGCAAAGATTATTGGCAAAACAAGTGACCAGATTTTTAAATTATTGTAGTTCATGATTTCTTCATTCACTCATTCAGTAAGCTCTGAGGACCAGACTCTGCAGGCCACCCTGAATATAGAAGAGTCCCTGTACTGAGGGGCATTCACAGAGCAGGGATGAGATAAAGCAGCAGACATTATAATATAATGTCATAAGTGACAAGATAAGTGCAGGGAGCCACGGGCGCATGCAGGATAAGAAACAAGTATGGATCTGGTGGGGAGAAGGAGAAGAAAGATATTTTTGTATAAGGACTGTTTAAAACAGGAAAGTAGGAGGAACAAAGTTTTTTTTTTTTTTCTTTTAAGTTTTGTTGCTAATATTAGGCTTGATTTTATTGTGTTTGGTATATTTTCTTTTTTATTATTTATGTTAGTGGCATGAAGTAAGGTATTATGATAAACTTAATGCAGAGATGTAATAATAACAAGTAAAATTCATTCAGTGTTTCTGTGGCAGTTAAAAGAGTGAGTATAAGCGCCAGATGGCTTGACTTTTAAAACCATTCATGTCAGATATTTGCTCTTATTAGGTTTAGGTATATTAATTGTGCTTTATTTTCCCCATTTGTAAAATGGCTGTGAGAGCTGTCTATATGTCATAGATCTGTGATGATGTTTCAATAAGTTGATTATTCAAAGGACTTAGAAGAGTGCTTGCTCATATTGAGTGCTCAATAAACATTAGCTATTATTATTATTATTATTATTTTGAGACAGGGTCTCACTCTGTTGCCTAGGCTGGAGTGCAGTGGTGTGATCTTGGTTCACCACAACCTTGGCCTCCTGGGCTCAAGCAGTCCTCCCACCTCAGCCCTCCAAGTAATTAGGACTACAGGCATGTGCCACTATGCCTGGCTAATTTTGGTATTTTTTGTAGAGATGGGGTTTTGCCTTGTTGCCCAGGCTGACCTTGAATTCCTGGACTCATGTAATCTGCTCCCTGAGCCTCCCATAGTGCTGGGATTACAGGTGTGAACCATCACACCCAGCTATTATTATTATTTGGATAATCTCATTTAATGTTTTCATTAATCTGATAATACAATGTGGTAGACAGAATAATGGCCACCAAGATGTCCACATCCTAATCCTGGAACTTGTGAACATATTACCTTGCATGGCCAAAAGGAATTTGCCAATATGATTAAATTAAGATTTTGAGATGGGGGATTACCTTGATAATGATGTTGAGCCCAGTGTCATCACATGGATCCTTAGAAGAGGCAGGTGAGTCAGAGAAGGAGATGGGATGAAGGAAGCAGAGGGATAGAGTCAGAGATCTGAAGATGCTATGCTGTTGCCTAGCAAGATGGAAGGAACCCTGAGACAAGGAATGTGGGTAGATTCTAGAACCTGGAAATGAAAAGAAATAGATTTTCTCCTGGAGCTCCTGGCAGGAATGTGGCCCCCCTGACATCTTGATTCTGGTCTGGTTGAACCCATTTAATTTGAATTCTGACCTGTAGATCAGTAAGATTATACATTTGTGGCATTTTAAGCCACTGGTGATTTTTCTTTTCTTTCTTTCTTTTTCTTTCTTTCTTTTTTTTAATCCCAGAATTCATCAAGCACAAAGTTTATTCTGAGGGTATCTGAGTCTGGTTTTCAGAACAGTGCCTAACCCATGTTGGAAAGGGCCCCACATTTTCTCCTCTGTCAAGACTTTTTGGAACTCAATACCTTACACACAACAGCTCACCAACACCAGTTGCTGCTTGGCTCACAACAAAGACAAATAAATTCAAGCTAGGAAGAAAGGATAGGAAATAAGACATTGAAATTCTATTACTATTTTTCCATAATCCTCTTAGAACAGAATTACAGTTTTTCTTTTCTATTTTTTTAACCATTTATTTATTTAATTTTCTGTTTTATTTTACTTTAAGTTCTGGGATGCATGTGCTGAATGTGCAGGTTTGTTACATAGGTATACATGTGCCATGGTGGTTTGCTGCGCCTATCAACCCTTCATCTAGGTTTTAAGCCCTGCATGCATTAGGTAGCCACTGGTGATTTTTCACAATATCAATAGAAAACAAGTGCAAATAAGCATTATTTCCATGTCACAAAAGAAGGAATGTGTTCTGGGGGATTAAGTTATTGCCAAGATTATTGGAAACTGTGGGGTGCACGCAGGGCTGTGGACTGATAGGCTTTATGATGGAAGCAGTCACCCAGAGAAGGAACCAGGACCTTACAACTCTATGTCCAGCCTTCTAAGCAGCCCCTGGTTTTAGCCTCCCTCCTGCAGCTGACTGTGTGTACAAGACTGGGGCTTTTCCAGGGTCTTTAAGGCAGCCACTGCTTCTGTTATCCTTAGCTGTCATTCCTGTAAGAAGCCCACCACTAGCTTTTCCATACTGTTAAATCACTTCACATTTTTCCAGCCCCTTGTCTTTTTCTAAAAGTGTTAGAAATCTGTCTTCCATGGATTCCTCTTTCATTCTTGCTGTCTTTGTGAATTTATGCTTTTTTTCCCCTTCATTTTCTGTAATTTTAGTAAGAGTTCATCAGGAAACAGTCATCAGTGGCCAGCTAACTATTCCCAACTCAAGCAGCATATCAATTTTTGACCCATGGCAGTGCCTCCTCTCACTTCAGCACTCTCAAAAGACTGCAAACAGTAACATTAAATTCACCCAACATGACCACAGTGCAAAAGCATCTCACATGGTCTTTGTGAAAGCGCCCACAGTTACCACCCTTTAGTAACCTTTCCATACAGTAGAACAGTAGGCAGGAGGCAAAATGCTTCTACAAACTCTGTCAAAATATGTATAATGGATATGTTTCATATTTTGGATAAGTTCCTATGAATACACCTATATTTTTATAACTGTTCTAGGAATATATTTATACTTTTATGAGCTCCTTCCTCATATTTGAGGAGAGAAGAGAAATTGTAGTGCATACTTTTTGCGGGGGGTTGTGTGTATCAGAGTGTCATGGTATTCATGAGGATCTACTGTAAAAGCTTGTGATTACTGCAAATAAAAATGACCAAATTGGTCACTTAATAAATAACATATAACATGATTAATCAAAATTTTAAAATTTGTGTTTTTAAACAACTATTTTTCAGACCTCTACACCACAGACAGTAGTAACAAGGGGAATAGGTAAATGTTGAGAGAATATAAAAAACTTCAGTGTTAAATTATAATACATAGTATGTTTACTTTTTAACTTATGTTAGCAAATTTCTATGCTTGTATGAAATTGGTAGTTGAAACTATTAGATTTTTTAGAAACAGTTATGTGCAGAGCTTCTGTCTCCTTCTTGTTCAGTCTCAAGAATAATATAACCTTTTTTTTTCTTAAATACTACCTTCTTCGTACATAATGGACAAAGATAAACACTATTATTGGATCCTAATTTGAAGGGTTCAGTTCCCAGCTTTCTCATTGTAATTCCATTCCTCTTTAACTCCCAGTTGGACAAAGTACATATGAATGAATAAAATTGATGTTGTGGCAAGAATCCCAAATTTACTATGCTTTATCGAAATGAGTAATTCTTTCCAAAAACTTGCTTTGATTCAAATGATCATGTTATATCCCCATGTTTCCACATAGAGGCTGAGAATTGTTAACCTGGAGCCTTCTATGGAGAAGTAAGAGGCTGGTTATTCCTTACATTAGAATACAAAGGAAGTTAAATTACAAAGGAAGATGACTCTGATGTGGCATAGAGTTTTACAAGTGAGACAATAATTATACGATATGGGGTAGTTCTGATTGTCAGAGAACAAAGTTCCAACAAATTGAGTTTAATGATCTAATTGGCTTTTATTAGTGATTCATGGATTGGGCAGCTTCTCAACTCTGTGAAAACAGGAAGGTGCTCTGCTGAGCTGAGCAGAGGGAGCTGGCTTTACAGGCAGAAAAGGGCTGAATTAAGAACAAAAAGCAGATTGATCGTTTCAAAGTTACTTTCCCTACAGGGTAAAAACAGAGGGGATTTCTTTATCATGCTGGTTCAGGTAGACTAGGCCCTTTTCTGTTGGAATCTCCTATCTTCTTTTGAAAACTGGCCCATTTTAAAATTCAGCTTATGTGACACCTGGCATGAGTGACTCCATTCTAGTTTTGTCTGGTCTTTGGGCTTAGTGCAGGAGCTTAGTCCAAAACAGCGGTCTGTGGTAGGAAATTTCTTTAATGTGGTTTAATACCTTTGTCAATATAGTGAATATTATCTTTAATCTGCTCATCAAAGCATTTGATGATTAAATGAGCTAATGCCTACATAACATTAAGAGTCTCAGATTAAAAGAGTGGTAAAATATTTAGTTTCTTCCTACTAGTGAATGTAAGTTGTGTTTGAATAAACATACTATAAGTTTAGTATGCATTTTTTTTTTTTTTTTTTTTTTTTTTTTTTTTTTTTTTGAGACGGAGTCTCGCTCTGTTGCCCGGGCTGGAGTACAGTGGCCGGATCTCAGCTCACTGCAAGCTCCGCCTCCCGGGTTCACGCCATTCTCCTGCCTCAGCCTCCCGAGTAGCTGGGACTACAGGCGCCCACCACCTCGCCCGGCTAGTTTTTTGTATTTTTTTAGTAGAGACGGGGTTTCACCGTGTTAGCCAGGATGGTCTCGATCTCCCGACCTCGTGATCCGCCCGTCTCGGCCTCCCAAAGTGCTGGGATTACAGGCTTGAGCCACCGCGCCCGGCCTAGTATGCATTTTATATGTATTCCATCCATTAATTCATTTAACAAATACTGATTGCACACCGATTATGTATCGGCCACTGTTCAGTATGTTTACAATGCTGTGTTTACAGCAATGAACAAGGCAAGGTAGGCAGGGGAAAGAATCTGTAGAGCATATTAAATAATTTGGATTTTATTCTAACTATGAAGGAAGCCATTGGAAGATTTAATGTAGGAAACTTACATAATTTGTAAATATATACTGAATTATATAATTTGTAAATAGAAGACTCTGGATTTTCTGCATGCAGTGGATTATCTGGAGAAACAAAGGAATTTAACCATCTGGGGGGAGGCTATTAAAGGAGTCCAGGGGAAAGATGATGGTGGCTTGAGTTGGGGTTAAAAATGGGGAAATGCAAAGCTGCAGCCTCAGAAAGTAGTCCATGAGATTTATGATGGAATTGACAGATATGAGGGGTAAAGGAAAGAAATGAATCAATCATGAGAATAATGCTTTTGGCCTGAGCAAGCATGTAGATGCTAAAGATGGAGAAGCACGGGAAGAATAGATTTCAGGAGTGGGGAATCAGCAGGTCAAATCGGAAGTTAATTTCTAGTCTGGAGTTTAAGTGTGAGGTTAGTGTGTAGGGAAGGTATATTTGGGTTTCATTGCAATAGAGACGGCATTTAAAGCCCAAGAGTAGATGATACAATATCTGTGCAAGTAGAGAAAAAGGTCCCAGGACTGAACCCTGGAATATTCCCATAATTTAGAGGCTAAACAAGAAGATGGGTTCTGCAGTTGAAACTAAGGAAGGACCATAGGCATAGAAACTAAGAGAGATGATGGTGTCATAGAAGCCAACAAAAGTGTTTTGATAAAACAATGGATCTTTGCACATCAAATTTTGAAAGTAATGCAGGTAAGTTGACCTCATTACTTCTCTTCAAGAAGCAGTTTTGCATAATCATTAATTACTCAGTGCTACTGAGAGTAGGGAGAGAGAAGTGAGTGATGGATTTAGGATCATGGAGGTTGTTGGTTATACTAACAAGCAGAAGCCCAGTTTGATTGGTTTAAAAGGAAAATGGAAACTGAAAAAATGGAAGTAGTGAGTATGGCGACTCTTTCAAGCATCATTCGTAGGAAGTAGAACAAAGAAATAGGATGGTAGCTTCGAAAAAGTATACTAGGTTATATCAGAAAATAGATTATACTGGAGTGCTGATTATACTAGAGTATGTTTGGAAGCTAATGGAAATGATCTCAGAAATAAGGGGAATTTTAAAAAATTTCACAAGTGAAGTTGAAGAGGTGAGAATGTAATCATCAAGGAATTACACAGTTGTGACCAGTTGAAAATTCATATTCTGGGAATTTGACATTAGGTAAGAGCTTTGATAAAACAATTTTAGCATAAAATTGTTAAACAATACAGGTAAATTAACCTTATAACTTCTTTCTAAGAAGCAATCTTGCGTAATGACTTCTTGATAAAAATTGTAAATGTCTTATTGACTAAATAGAAACTGCTTTTAAAACCATGGAGAAAGCATATGTACACATATATGTGTGTATGTGTATGTATGTGTGTATACATGTGTATGTGTATGTGTATATATATATAATTATATATGTAATTTTTCCCCCTGAAGATGTG